TAAGAAGCACTTAAGCCGAGTCCAGTTTAAATTATTTCTGCCTTAATATTGTAGAAATGACTTTGCATTATGTTTGTCCGTCAGTGGCTCCCATGGCATGCGTGACTAAAGGCCTCACAGCCTTGTCCTAAGTGTATTTGGTGTGCACTAATAATGCTTTTAAGCTATGTTTAATTAAAAAAATAATAATAATACCTAACATCTAATCATCCTCCCAAAAAAGATAGTAAATAAGGGTGCAGAAAGAAGATTTTCTCATCATAAGGTCTCAAGAGGCTGCATGCATTATATATTTATTTAAATTTAAATTTAAAGAATGACAAATTTAAGTTTAAACAGTGACCTCAAAATGCACAACTTGCCACATTGTGAATTTTGCATTCMCAAAAAGCTTCGACCTGCTAATAAACTTGGTTTTGGGATGATTGCTTTGACAGAAGCGTCTCTGGGAAAGAAAMTTGAATTACCACAGGATGTTGGCTACAGAAGCTTTGAGGATAATTGACTCATCTGAAGGTTAGTTGCCAATCGATTCTCTCTCTCGCTGTTTTATCGGAACAAATACAAGCACCCTAAACTATAAGACTTAATTTACTTCCCTGTTGCATTCTATGCACTTGTCAAAGTGACTTCTTCTAATTCTTTCACATACTTTTTGTCAATAATGACACAGATTTTTCTACCAAACAAACAAACAACAAACAAAAGATTTGATATGATTAAAATAACCAGCTGGTACGTGTTGCAGAAAACTAAGAATTTATATTTTTATATTTTTACTTGAGCGAATACCTCGTTAGAGAAAATAAGAAAGAAAAAGATGATTCCAACATGACTTAATATGTTTTTAATCACATTTTTCGCCATGTTTGTATTTTTTAAAGAAAGATCTGTAACAGCAGTAGGGATCGGACTAATTAAAATTAAGTTGGTATAATTGATTTGAAAAATATCTCTGTCAAGTCCAAGTCCAGCTTCTCTCAGATCCACTTCACTCTGCAAAGAAACAGGTTTTTATTTTCAACTTGTTTCATCTGCCAACTGAAAACACTTCTTCATGCAGTTTGTTAATACAAGTCTTTAAGAATTCATATCTTTTTATCACCTCTGACGTTCAGGGTCATTGAGGACTCTGCAGCTCCCAGTTTGTTCTCGATCACCACTTTGTATTCTCCGTAGTCTTGGGCTCCCACCCGCAGTATGAGCAGGGAGCAGACTCCGCACACGTTTGTGATGAGATAGTTTGTGTTTGTGTTGATGCTGATGTTGTTGCGGCACCACGTCACACGTGGCGACGGATCGCCTCTTACTGCACAGCTCATGCAGCATTCGTATCCTTGAGGAGCTGTGCGCCTCTTCAGGGGAATAATGAAGGACGGAGGCGACTCAAAGTTTGAAGAATTAATCTCGGGCATGTTTAATTTAAACTTTTCTGAAACAAACAAATAGACCAAATATAAGGTCACATGGTAATATGATTTTCAAGTAAAAACTAGGGATGCACCGAAACAGATACCAGCATTTTAAAAGTACTCATACTTATTCAAAATGCCCTGATACCAATACCTTTGGTATCAGGTACCAATGACCAATATCTTTTTTTCTTTGCATGGATATTCACTTTTTAAATGCAACTCCCGTTAGACTCCAAAATRAATGCTTTATGCCGTCGATGTGACACGCATGCACAGAAGATGACACGACATCACATTCCACACACGGTTAACTGGAGTAAAGAACAGGTCACAACGGCAGATGCTACTTCTTAGCTTGACGATTCTGAAATTGTTCAATCAGAAACAGTAAAATAATTATCTGACATGCTTGTTTGTTTATTTGACCTCCCTGTGGTCGACTGATCCGGTGAAACGTGTATTTTATGGAACAAGAGCGACGCAACATCACATTTCGGTCGTTTACAGGATGAAACAGGTTGCTATTGTGGATGCTACTTGTTAGCTTGTTTAAAGYTGTTGTTCAATCAGAACTGGTTAAATAATTAACTGACATGCTTGTTTAGTACATGGTTTACATTTTAACCTGCCTCTGGTCGGCTGCTTTGTTGAAATGTGCTTTTATGGAATGAGGGCGACATGATGTGCTCCAAGAAAAGCTAACAAAAATATTCATCCACTCTAGTATTGACACAGTCTGACACTGTTACTATCAGATGTTTCTGTGAATTCTCAGTCATCCAGGAGATGGAAACTTCAAAGAAAAAGATGGAGCAGCTGGACTTCTGTTCTGTAGTTGTGGAACGTTCTTACGACATACTGGAAGTGATCCAACTAAAGTTTCCGTCCAGAACTTTGGCATCAACACAATCTGACACCGTTACTATCATTTGTTTCTGTGGATTCTCAGTCATCCAGGAGAAGGACGACTGTTCTGTAGCTGAAGACGTTTGGTGCTACAAGTGGTGCTATGTGTGTTTATACGAGTAGCTCTCAATCCTGGTCCTTGAGGACCACTATCTTGCTTGTTTTGGATATTTGCCTTGTGCTTTGGCACACCTGATTTAAATGAATGAATGAGTGAAATTGAAATTAAAAACCTGCTGGAGAGCAGGGAAACAACTAAAACATGCAGGATAATGGTCCTCGAGGACCAGGATTATAAGCCACTGGTTTAAACTGAGGTTTATTTTGACAAACATCAGATATATGTTTGCTTTAGTGCCAGATTCTAATTTTAAAATTGTGTTTCTGTAATCACTGTGTGACGCTTAAGTTCTAACTCAGTAAGTACTTGTATTGGTATCAGGGTTCCCACGGGTCTTTGAAATCCTTGAAAGTTTGTGAATAAAATAATGATTTCAAGGCCCTGTAAAGTTTGTGAAAACAGCCAAAAGTTACACTTCTCCTTGAAAGTCCTTGAATGAATGATTTTTGGGGATTGAAATTCTCTATTCACATAACTGATTTTCATTATCTTTTAAAAAATAAATTATGAAATTAAATGAAAAAAAACCTTACATTTGTTGCGGTGGATAACTCAGGATTACAGCAAACTGATGTTATTGTTTCTGACTCAACAACTTCTATGTTGTTCAGTTTTTCATTGAATTACATGATATTAAACCTGTTTATTGGTAACATTCTGCAGTAGCAGTAGGTAATTACCGTTGTGCGTGGTTCTTTAATTTGAGGAAATTGGAACTGGAAAGTCCTTGAAAGGTCCTTGAATTTGATGTTGACCAAGGTGTGGGAACCATGTGGTACTCTGTATAGCTGAGTACTCAATCTGAAGTACTTGTACTCGTACTTGGTTTGAGGAAAAACTGGTATTGGTGCATCCCTAGTAAAGAAAATAAAATAAAAGTGACCTAAAACTACTTTTTTTATGCATAATGAACAATGTATGACAAGAGTGACAGCCTGTTTTATTTAAAATTTTTATCGAATGGTAAGCTTTTAACAAAATTTTTTTTTTAAGAAACACCCTCGGGTAGATGTTTAAAAATCCATACATTATCTATTCCCGCTTCTTCCTTTCGGAGTCACAGGTGTCACTRGTGCCCATACCCAGCAGTCAGTGTGAGGGGCAGAGGACCCTGGACAGGTCACAAGTCCATCACAGAGACAAACAACCATTCACTCTCTCACTCACACCTAGGGACAATTTAGAGTTACCAATTAACCTAACAGTCATGTTTTTGGTGTGTGRGAGGAAGCTATGTTAAAAAAGGTATCTGTTTTTTAATTAACAAGTTTGATGTTTAAATTTTGTGTGAGCACACCAGATAGTATCTTGATTTGGCACAAACCTTTTTCCTTTCTGATTGCAAACACAGGGGATGCAGATGGTGGCGACAGGCCCATGTCATTTTTAGCGAGCACCCTGAAGTTGTACTCCCGTCCAGGCATAATGTTGACCACTGTGAACTTATTGTTAAAGAGATTATCTGCCACAGTCCTCCATGTACGTTTGAAGGAGTCTCGCATGGAAACCATGTAATGCAGTCTGTCATCTTTCTTCTCATCTGGAGAGGGAGTCCAACACAGAGTTACTGTCCCTGGGATGTTCTGTTCCAGCTCTACGGGACCTGGAGGCTTGGGGTCATCTGTAAACAGGATTTAGATGCAAACATGGAGATTATTGACATTAAAAACATCAGTAATCTTATATTTATGTTCTCTAATGCAGAGATTCTTAACCTGTGGGCTGCGAGCGCCACCTTGAGGGCCTCAAAACAAACAAACAAAAAACAACAAAAAAAAACAACAGTTTTTAACTTTGGGCCACAGAGGGCTGTGGGACCGCATTGATTTTGAATAAAGTGCAATACACTTTCTCATGACTAGTAGCGGCAGTGCACCACTCAGATGTTTAACAACTTTTTGTAAATGTAGAAGAAGAACTATAGAAACCTGCCGAGAATGGAAACGTATTTTAAATGAAAAGTAGAAGGCAAAAATGAAGGTAACCCATCAAATAATGCCAAAGTTTGTCACTAATATGAAGTGCAGCTTCTGGTTTTACCAAGCTTTTAAAATATTGATTTTAAAAGTTCAAAACATTATCAAATACAGTTGCCAATAC